TTTCATTACTGGTCCATAAAATCTCATAACGAGGTTGTGATTGAAGAATTGAAAAATGTGTATTTGATACCATGTTAAATTAACTTGTCAAGAAAATTTAAACCCTTGAAAACATAAGAAAATTAGTTTTTGAAATATGAGCGGGTCTTACCGATCCCTCACAAAGGTGGAGGTCGATTTTTTTCCTTCATTTTTTATGGCGTCGAGGCCCACGTGGGGCCGACCCCATGTGAGGGGTCGGTAAGACCCTTACATAGGGATTTGTTCTTGAAATATTAATTTTGGACAAGAGAATTAAGACATCAAATATTCTCCGTATTCGACAAATCAAAAAGAATCCTTGCTTTATAGTATTATATTAGAACCGACCTGTGTGCCCTCACATTTAGGGGGCCCATGCCAATAAAAAAAATGGTGTGAGCCCCACAGAACAATGAGAGTGTTGTACATGTATAGCACATACAAACAGCTTCGTCCATTATATTATGGGATTCACAAGTGAACTTCCATTTGTCTTCTTTTTTCCTTTTCTTTTTACTTTTGTCTGGATGAATCTATTGTCCTTTATTTAACTGTTATAGGAAGACATGAAAAAGTGGCTTCTACTTAGCCCGGTTTGATTTAGGATTCAGGGATGGATCCACAACTGGATTATAAAATTTCAAATCGGGCTACTACGTGGGAAAATTTTTTTTTACATATAAAAAACTGATTTTTTACCCAAAAAAAATAAAAAATACCTTAAAAAAAAACTCTTGGACCTGAGGGGGGGTGGGCTACAGCCCAGCCCAGCCCCCCTGTATCCGTCTCTGTTAGGATCCATTTAATGTAGCTCTTTCAGCTCTTTTAATTAAAAGAAATGTTTTTATAAAATTAGTCAATGTTCAAAAGAAATTTTTGAGCACTCTCAAAAGCTTATTTGACTTTTCAAAAGTCATATCTAATGAGTCCTTAGTTTAGAATCAGATTTTTTCGCAAGTTTTGATAAACATTAATTGTATATTATTAAAAATTGTGAATTTCATAAAATGTATAATTAAAAATGAATTTTAAAACAAGTGAGTTGAAGAAGACTTTTCAAAATATTTTTCTCACCCCCCAATATTCCTATCCCCTTGTTTTCCGATCGGAAAATCCCCCCTACACCTAATCTCCCATCATGGGATTTTTTTTTTCGTACTCTCAAAATAAAAAAATTAAATATTTTATATCACTATTTAGTTGCCACGCGTATTATTAATTTATTTCTTGGTCCAAATCAAATAGAGGGTTTCAAAAGTGACGTGGGAGAGGGAGAAGAAAATTGGTTTTCTTCTTTTTCTTTTATTTTGTTTTCTACTTATATTTTTGGATTTAATTGAAGATACTAGCATCTTAATTTTTTCTACTAAAATTTACAATTTACCTGTCATAATATATGGAAATTGATGATCAAGACATAAGTAATTCTTTAGTTTTCTAACACAAGCTAATCTAGTCCATGTTAAGGAAACATGATTTGCAGAAATGGCCACTCCAAGAGGCCTAACTCCAAATTAATCTTTCATTTAAAAAATAATTAGATATAATGAATTTTTCTATAGCAGTTTAGTGATAAAACGCCGTGAACTAAGAACTAAAGATTTGTTTGACATGACTTTTGCTTTTGACTACCTTAATTTTTGTTTAAAAACTAATTTCTAAAAGATCTTTCTATTTTGGAAGTTACGGATTATCTTTGTACTCCAAAACTTCAGACTAGAGAAAAAAAACTTTCACAACGTTAGTTAAAAGGGTATTAAATTTCAAACAATAATGCCCAGTGTACAGGGCAATGGGCCAATGGCTCACGGGTGTTTTATAGGACTCCTCACTGTGCAGAGGCCCCACATGTATTAAAAGAAAAAAATTAAGTGGACCTCACGTATGTGTGTGGTTTGACAGGGACCTATAAGCCTAGCACGTTGAATATCAAAAGCTCATTTTAACGTTTTAAAAGATGTGCCAAACTAATCCTCGGTGGATTAAAGAAGTCACCGTTGAATCTATCATTTTCTGGCTGCGTGTTTATCCACTTTTCCAGATCGTGGAGCCATATGCTCTCTGCCTCAAATTCAAAATTGTGTTACGGAAGACATCCCCCCACCATTTGACATGCAAAATATTCCATTTCCTATAAATCAATAGTTTTGCGGCTAAAAGTTGTATCTATGCATACTGATCCCCATCCATCAACGTGAAACGGATATGATGTTCATTTTATAATAAATCAAAACTTGATAAGAATATTTAAGTTAAAATTGAAAATTAATTTTAATAATAAATTTTATGAAATTCACAATTTTTTAATCACATATTTCATTAAATTTTATTAAAATTTTAGTAAATTTTGAGTTTTTTAATCTAAAACAAACGAAAGCTAAGAATACATTTCCCTTCTCTCTGGGGAAATTATAGAGTCAATTGCATTCAATGTCAACAGAAAAGCTTACTTATTATTTCGTCATGGAAAAAAGAAGAAGCCAAATGTTAAATAATTTACATTTTAACTTTGACGGGTGATTGTTAAAGTAGGTTAAATCTTGATATCGTGTTATTTGTACAAATTAGGTTGATAGATGTTGTCAACACATAATTTGTAAACAAACTTTGTATAAGTAGATTAATTCTAAACGTTGATGCGTAGAAATCAATGATGATAAATAAAGTTGCATGAATATTGTAATTGTTGGGTGGTTATTACTAATGTCTACTACTCAAAATTAGAGTAAAAATAACGTTTAAAACAAATTTGATTAAGCTCGTATTCGGTTTAGTCAGAAAAGTTGATAAAAAAATTAAATTATCAATAATTAATTTTAGCCAAGCATTTTACGGGACCTACAATTTTTATTAACTTTTTAACTACACATTATATCAACTTTTGTCAAAATTTACTAATAATCTCATTTTTCAGCAAAACTAAACTGGGGCTAAATGTGCTTATTTAGACATGCAAAATGTTAAGTTGTGCCTTCTACATCAATGTCGACATTAATGTCAAAACCATTATATTATAAAAAATATAAGTAAAATTTATTGTTCCAACAATATTAATTTAATTTCTGTAATTTGTTGGAAAATAAAAGTAAATCTATCTTTGTGGGGGTAAAAAATATAAGTAAAATTTATTGTTCCAACAATATTAATTTAATTTCTGTAAAATGGAGTGCAACAAAATCACGTTTCAAGCAAAATTTTATAACTTTGTGCAGCTTTACCAAAATGCTCTTTATAAAACGTGCAATATTCCAAAGTATGAACGGTTTGTTTAATTTGAGAGTACAATCGTAGGGATTTTCAATAATTATAAGATTAGAAATATTACTTTGAAATTTCAAAATTTAGGAAATTTTTACAGCTTTGTGCAGTTATAAGAAAATGTCCATAAGGAACACCGTTTTGTTTAGAATAATAGTTATTTCTAATGTTATATGATTCATGATTGAAAAACTATTAGTTAAAAACACTCTATTGACTTTAGTACAACAAAAATTTGCTTCGACTAAACCAGTTTTTTGTTGCTTAATGAAAATGCTCCTAACTCAACGTAGAAGACTCCAAAGTAAGACCTTTTTTGTTTTATTTGAGATTAAATCCATCAGTCTTTCAAATGATATAAGATTTATGATATGGAATTTCGAAATCTTATAAAATTTTGAAACCTCTGCACGACTTTTTGAAGATGTCCATAAAAAACATTGTTTTGTTTACAATAATAGTTATTTCTAATGTTATATGATTCATGATCCAAAAACTTATTAGTAAAAACACTCTATTAACTTTAATACAACAAAAATCCACTTCGACTGAAGTAGTTTTTCGCTACTTAATGAAAATGCCCCTAACTCAACGTGGAAGACTCCAAAGTAAGACTTTTTTTTTTTTTTTTTGGGTTTATTTGAGCTTAAATCCATTTGTCTTTCAAATGATATAAGGTTTATGAAATGAATTTTTGAAATCTTTTATAAAATTTTGAAACCTTTGCATGAATTTATGAAAATGTCCATAAGGAACACTGTTTTGTTTAGAATAATAGTTATTTCTGATGTTATATGATTCATGGTCCAAAAACTTACTAGTAAAAACACTATGTTTACTTTAGTACAATTAAAATTCACTTCGACTGACATAGTTCTTCGTGGCTTAATGAAAACGCTCCTAACTCAACGTAGAAGACTCCAAAGTAAGACCTTTTTTGTTTCTTTTGAGATTAAATCCAATGATCTTTCAAACGATGTAAGATCTATGATATTTAATTTCGAAATCCTTTAGAATTTGAAACCTTTGCATGACTTAGTGAAAACGTCCATATAATAAAAATGTTTATACATTTGCTTCATGAAGGTAAACTTATAGAGAATTCTAATGGTTTAAGATTCATCATCTAGCAATTTCATATCAATAGTGTATTAACTAAAATACAATATAAATTTGTTTCGACTTAAAATTTTGGGTTGAGCGATTTCACGAAAACTAGCATTACGCAATGTAGAAAACTCCATAGTAGAACCATTTGTCTCTTTTCAGAGTAGAGTCATATGAAGTCATTCCACTTTTATTGATGTTAAATCTAGAAATTTCTTCTTGTTCATGTGGTGTCCTAAGCCCTAACATGTTTATACATCACTTTTCTTAAATTATAATCGAGAGAGGAAAATTTGATATTTATAGATAGGTTAGCTGATAAGCTAGATGAAGTTTAATATTTTATCTTGGATTTATGACTAACACCATAATAATTGAACCAAATATGGATTGAATATTAATAATTTATTAGTAAAATCAGAACTCCTTACTATTTACTTAATCAATTTTTTCACCATTAACCATTCATTCTATAGTTTTTAGTTTAGGTTATTAGTTGTTTTACATAACATTAATCTAAATTCCAAAATTTGTGTTCCGGGGTTAAGTTGCAAGTACTTTAGAGTTAATTTAGTTGAAAAATCAACTGATATTCCTCGTTAGAACGATACTTAAAATTCCTTTATATCGATTTTACTACTTATCTATATTTATCCTACATCTATTAGCAATGCTACAATATCCTCTAAAACATTACCATTTGATTTATGGATGAGATGAGCTTAAAAAATGGCAGAGGTGAGGCCATATATATCGAAAGGCAATGGAGTCCGCCACCTCCGGGGAGGGGGGAAAAAATGAATCAGCGAACTAGTTTACGACTATGACAACCAAACTGAACCCTGATCCCTGCACTTTTAATTATCAATATCTGTTCAGCTCCAGAAGGGTTCCAAATTATCAGCCACTCGCAATTCGTTGTCATCAGAGAAGCTGCTGCTTAAATTATCACATAGCTGCTGTGGGACACAGATTTCCTGATACTGCAACATTTGTGCAGGAAAGAAATCTGCAGAATTGGTAATTTCGTGGGATTTCATATTCATATTCAAGATTTGTGCCTGAGCCTTTGCCAATTCTGTTTGGAGCTCAATAACTTGCTTCTGAAGTTGACAAATCGCGCCAGCACAGCCGTAAACTGGATCTCTCAGTCTTGCATTGGCTTCATAAACCATGCTGTTTACAGCATCTTCTCTTTGATTCTCAGGAATTCTCTGAAATAAGTTATTTTTCTTACTACATCAATTATAACATTTTATATTTAAAAAGTAAAAAGTAGAGAGAATGATTCCACATCAGTTTATACAGTCAAGTAGTGAAATTGAATGGCAAACTAGGGTTGTTTCAAGTGACTACTAACATTGAGCGCTACATTATTTTTCCTTAATTACCATACTATGAAAATTTACCAGCCGATTCATCGCACACAACTATAATGATTTTAATCAATCACACATTAGTCAACTTTGATTAAAATCTAAACAAAATCTGATTTTAATCTACACCAAGCAAGGGCAAAATTTGGTTTTAAGAAACATATATTTTATAAGTGCTGTAATAGAATATGTTTTTTCCGCTCTTGGTGTGACATCATATAGCATAGGATTTTCTCCTGATTCATAGGACACGGAGCTAGTTTGGGTAGATAAATCTGGAAAATTCATATCAAGAAACAAAATGAATGTATATTAAGAATGTTGGCTATATATATCCAGTTTTATGCAATGAAACAAAGAAAACCTACTTGTAGGTTGTTTAAAAACCTCAATTGGAGATAGACATAAATTTTGAAAGAGACAAGGATCATTCGAGAGAAAAATTTAACTGGATTGGTATCACTAGTCAATTTCAGACATGAATATAACCATTAATTCCTTAAATACTCATTGTACCTGCAATAACTTGATGATGTTACTGGCCCCAAATACCTTATGGGCCATTAAGAACTTCATTGGATCACTCGGCGGAAAATAAGGCGCTAACACACAATTCTCATCACATCTTCGCCGTAGGATTTTGCACGCAGCGCAAGGACTAATGACGACTTCCGGCCGAGGAGAGGAAGTTGTGGTGGCCACTGCGGTTTTCCCGTTTGCCATATTGTTGTTGATCGGTGGAGGTGCGGTTGCGGTTGCGGTTGCGGTTGTTTTAGGGTAGCGTGTTCTACAACGGAGAGAAACAAGCATTTATAGAGACAGGATAAACTGTTCGAGTCATGGAAATTGATTAATTTTTTGACTAATTCGTTAAGTCTTAAGAATTGAAAAACGAGCCAACTTTTTATTATTCTTCTTCTCTCTCTGTTGTGCTCCACTTCTATTTTATTTTTTGGATCTATGCGACTATGCCATCAACTTCTTTTGCTTAGCATGTTAGATTATTTCCTAATTTAGATGGGAGTAATGAATAGTGAGATTTTGAACTTAAAATATTTATTTACTCAATATCAAGTCCATTTCTAAAATTTGTAATTTGTTTCTATTATTATTAACATCCATTACTATTAGCTTATATCCACTAAACATTATAAAATAACTTACAATCAATGTACGGCGATAAAAAGTATAATAGAGAAACGTAAAGTTAAGTATTTGTTTTCAGCTCTTACATATCACTTTGTATCTCGATAGTGAAAATCTATTTCTTTTATTCATTTAACTGAAGGTTAAATAGAGTCCTTCAAATAAATTCTATTTTCATTTTTTAGTTGCCCCTGGGGCATAGTCTAGTGGTGTAAAAGACAGGAGTGAGGTTATCTTACGCATTGCTGGTAGTCGCAGTGTGGAGGTTCGATTCTTGAAACATGGAATTGAACTCCTTGTAGCGCAGTGTACAGACAACTCTTGTTCCCTGGTCTGTTAGGGCACATCCCGCAATTTACCTCTCTCACAAATCTTTAGAGACTGGACGGTAGGAATCCTCAAGGTTGGGGTTCAACCCTTTTTTTTTTTTTTTCAGTAAAATCGTGTCGCATTTGGTGGTCATAGAAATGGTACTTTCGTTTAGGCCAAAAAAAAAAAAGACTATAAGGACATGTGTGTACCTCAAGGTAATAAGGACTATACCATTTTTAAAGAGGAAATGTATGGTGGATTTTACAGGTGTCAAGATGACCGAACCTGTATGACTTTTTTTTTTTGCCCAACACTCAATAAAAATTTGCCACATGGAATTCTGTATATTTTCCTGTAGAACTCCGCTATACACGTAGCATTGTTCAATTATATTTTCAGTAAGTTCAAAAAAATTTGATGAAATATATGATCGAAAAGTTATGAATTTCATAAAATATATAGTTAAAAATTATTATTGACTTTGATTAAATTTTTAACAAGATTTTAATTCATAGAAAACATGCAACATACATGTGTCTAAATGAGTGTGTGTGTGGGTGTGGGTGTAAACATATTTATTTAATTTGTAAGGTACATTACTCAGCATATGACCTGACACAAGAAAATAATAAAACGTGAGACACATTCTTGACTAATTTCTACATTCAAACTAAACTGGTTGTTTGCCAATTTAGATTTAAATTTTTCATCCTCTTTTTTTACTGTTCCAGAAAAGAACTTAAACAATTAGTCTTTTAATTATAGAATATTTATCTAACACGAAAAGCTTAATTTCACAAAATATTTATCTACCTTGAAAGATCAATCTCAAGTAAATAATTCCTAAAATTTATTAAAAAGATAATATTCATAAGTGATTGTTCGGGAGAGATTATTTCAAGTGCAGATAATTTTTATAAAATGTGTGATTAAAATGTTAAAAAAAAAAAGTGGGGGAATTACAGATCTCATAAAATATAGGATTAAAAATAATTTAAGAAAAAATAATTTTTAGAAAAATTCTCCGAAACGTATCCTAATTGACTTGTACAAGTTGGTGACAGGTGGTCTACTCGTTCATTCACAGTTGGTCTAACAAAGCACGATCCAAGAATCGGTAATCTATGGACAATAAAGGCTGCCGGTCAAAATTTGGCACGCCCAATTTAGAAGCCTGGTTATAATACCAATAAAAATAATTATCTTCTCTATCTATTTACACTTGAACCAATTTAGAAACCTAGTTATGATACATTTCTTTGTGAATTCAATGAAATATATGAGTCGGTTCGGTTTTAAAGAGAATCAAATCAAACCAAAATTTTTGGGTATTTAATAAATGGAACCGTCGGGTCCAAATATAATTATGGAACCGTTCGGGTTCGGTTCGGTTCCATTCCGTTCTGTACTATAATTAATTTTTTTAACATTTATAACAACATTATATAAATACAACTAATGACACATTCAATGATTTTGAAATTTCAGAGACTCGTAGATTACCTTGTTCAAATGATCGCTACGGTCAAAATTTCGATTGGCGGAGGTCACAGCTTCGATTAGAGGTCACAGCGTCGATCGACGATTGTATAGGTTTTGGAATGTCAGCGAGGCTGCGAGAGTCGAGACAGCGTTATGCACTTTAGTGTAGGTGTTTAGGGTTATTTAGTGGGTTGGATCTCGTTGGGCTAAGAAATGAGACAATAAAATGAGTAATTGGGCCAAAAATTAAAAAAATTAGAAATGAAACAAATTATTGGGCTAAAATTTTGGATTTAGAAATTGTTAATTTATTAATTTGTTTAGAAAAAATTGAAATCAAAATAATTTGATTTATTCAATATAAAAAAAAATTAGAAAGATTCGGTTCTTATTCGATTTTTCGGTTCTTGGTTTAGAACCGAGAATCAAACCGTACTCGTCGGTTCTCAATTCAGATACCCGTTCGGGTATTTAATTTGACAAGAACCGTCGGGTTCGATTCGATTCGGTTCGGTTCGATTCGGGTCCGATTCGTTCGGTTCGGTTCGGAAGATTTGCCCAACGCTATATATGACTGAAAATGAGTTTAAAAGAAATCGGTTTTTTTTTTTAAAGTGAAGGTCAAACAAGAGGTAAGAGTAATTATATATCTACATATTCATGATGATAAATTATAAGATGAATAAAGTAAATTTTATATTCATATATTTAATTGATCTTATTTATCATTTCATTTCCGATCACATGTCATATCAGAAGAAAAGAATATTCAATTTATACATAATATTAATTGTCACATAGACCACGATGATTGTGAGTCTAAAAAATAGAATTATTCAACAAAAAAATCAAATACACCATTGTAATAATCTTTTTGTCATCATAGTCATCTGGCTCTCTTTTTTATTTTTATTTTTTTATTTAATTTTTTTTTTATAGATTAGGGGTTTAGGTCCCATCCTTCTAGGAAACTATGTTCTTGGGTTCCATCAACAATAGGGCCGTGCGTTTGACGCGGTTATTATGAATAGAACTTATAATAACACATAGTTTTCATAAAGAGTTATAATTCAAAATTTATTGACGGTTTGATTGACAGTATAAAGTAATGTTAACATTAAAGTGATTCTTTGAAAAAGGATTACGACTTGGACACATTACCTAATTATTGTCTATATATATATATATATATATATATATATTATTTGTTATCAACTTGTTAATTTCATCCAGAGAGAAAGCAACATATATCATGTTTGGCAGACCATTTATTAGATTATAAGTTATTTTTCTTAGTGAAATTCGTGGACAGTGAGTGGGAAGTGCAAACGAATCCACATACACATTAGTCTAGTAGTGCAAAGAACAAGAGTGAGGTTATCTTACGCTTTACTGACAGCCGCAGTGTGGGGGTTCGATTTCTGAAACATGAAATTGGACTCATTGTAGGCGTAGTGTACAGGCAGCTCTTGTTTCCTGACCTATTGGGGCACATCCCGCAATTTACCTCCCTCACAAAACTTTAGGGACAAAACAGTGGGAGCCCTCAAGGTTGGAGTTTAACCTTTTTTTTGTAGCTTCAAAAATGCTAGACTAGAAACTTCAGAGTAAGTGGGCCCTTTCCATGTTACTCTACACTGGGAATGTCAGTCTCATTCCATGTCCAACCAAAATGAAGTGTTGAAAATTGTCATGATGCTTAGACAAAACAATATTTTTGACATCAAAAAAATGCAATCCAAAAACTTTTAGATAAAGATAGTCGATATATAACATTATAATCACTCAAAAATACAAAAATGGCTAACAAAACCAAATATTTCACTTCTTATTTCAATTCTATAAAACTTTCTGATGGCAAATAAATTTATATTAAATAATTTTTTTATAAAACTTTAAAGGATCCAGAAGTACTATCTACATATTCACTATTCCTTTCTATCTATTTATACACTTCCCAAACATGCCTATTATGCCCTTAAGATTTTGGTAAAGGTAAACACAATAATTAATACAAAATATAATTCCAAAGAAATCAAATAACCAAAACCCGAGGTATTATTTCATAAAGATGCATCAAAAGCTTGGAAATCTTACTTACATTAAAATTGTTTGAGATGGATCATGTTTGGCTAAGCTTAAAAATATGTGGTTCCCAAGCATGTCTCCATAATATTTCCTATACTGAATGTGGTTGTTGAAATAAGTAAATTAACTACATTTTTAATGCATACTTTACAGAACCAAAAGAAATAAGGGTCCGTTTGATTGCACAGATGAAATTTGGGTTGAAAGAAAACGAATTTCAGAGAATTAAATTGCCTAGAAATTATTTTACTGGGAATTGTCAATTATTGTGTTTGATTGGTATAATTTTTCATGTGAAAAATATTGAAATAAAAATATTTTTTGGTGTTCGTTTAGCTTTGTTTTATATAAAAATTGTCAATTAAAGAGATAGAATTTACTGGTATTGGGGATAGAATTTGTTTTCATTTCAAAAAAAAAAAAAAAAAAAAGATCGAGCTCCAAAAATCATATATATTTTGGTGTTCGTTTGACTTTATTTTACATGAAAATTGTCAATTTAAAGGATATCCTCTTTTATAATTGTTCCTAGAATTTGTTCCCATTGCCAAAAAAAAAAAATAATAATAAAATAAAAGGTGGAAAACATAAAACACCTACCCCATGGAAAAATGAATTCTCCCAAAACAAGGAATTGGTGCATGTGTAAGGCAACGATGGAAAACCAATTGCCTATAAAATTTTGACTATCAAACAAGTCAAAAGTGGGAAATGAAATTTGTTTTCTATTTTCCATAAAAAATTTTGTTCTATCAAACATGGCCTAATTAAATTGCAGCAGCAAGCAAAAATTCCTACAGACGTAGTCATGCAGCAATTAGCTGAAAAAATAAGCAACCGGAAAAATAAGCAGAAGTTTATATAATTTTAATGCTAACTTGTCATATGGACCCAAGAAATAAAGGGTCTCTGTTTTATGCTTCTTCGACCGGTTTAGTTAAGTGGTGACAAACGAAGAGAATAAAATTAAGAACAGTACATAAAAAATAACAGGAACAATGTAAAACAAAACCCTTTTTTTTTTCTTTTTTTTTTCTTTTTTTTTTCCTCTTTTTTCAAATTCATTTTCAAGCGGACATTCTCATAATAAAATATTTTACATGTCTTTCTATTTTTTAATCACATATTTTTCAAAAAAAAAAAAAAAAAAATCACTATTTTAAAACTCATTTTTTTCCAAGAACTGCTTTTAATTATTATCAAACATGCGCTTAATTTGTAAGGTAGTCTACATTTCTCAGCGTTAATTTTACGTAAAAAAACAACTAAACAAGCACGTTTATCAACCTGGATGATGACCTCAGCAAATGTGTCTTATGACTTGAGATAAGAAAATAATAACATGTGAAACACATTATTGACTAATTTGGGACGCCCAGTTTAGAAACCTAGTTACGATACATTGCTTATGTCACCAATATTTCTTTGAATGGACTTTCCAAATAGAAAAGGTAATCCTATCTATTTACACTAGTGATCATCGTGATAATTAAGTGATACTTATATCATCTTAAATATATAATATGACAGGTCAATTAAGCTCTGGTTTATTTTAATTTATAGTGTGTGATTGAAAATGAATTTTTAAAAATAAAGATATAACATGAGCTACGAGTAATGATATATGTGCAAATTCATGATGATAAATGATAAGATCAATTAAAAAAAAAAATTATATCCACATATTTAATGATCTTATCATTTCACTTCAAATCACCAGTCATTAATAATATTCAACTTGTACATAGTAACATTAGTTATCATATGGACAGTAGACCATAAATCAAATAAATATCATTTTGTTAAATAAAAATACAAAGTTATCATTGTAATCATCTTTTTGTCATCAAAGTCATCTTTAATTTATTATTATTTTTTTAAAGAAGAGTACAATGGGGTATGAGGTCCCATCCTTCTTGGAAATGCTCTTGGGTTCCATCAACATTACACCAAAATAGATTACAGACACATTGCCTCTCGGGGCATAGTCCAGTGGTGCAAAGGACATGAGTGAAGTTATATCACGCCTTACTGGCAGTCGCAGTGTGGGGGTTCGATTTATGAGATATGAAATTGGACTCTTTCTACGGCAGTGTACAGAAAGCTCTTATTTCCTGACCTGTTGGGACACATCCCGCGATTTACCTCCCTCATAAAACTCTAGGGACGGGACGGTGGGGGCTCTCAAGGTTGGAGTCCAACCTTTTTTTTAGACAACGGACACATTACCTAATTATTGTCTAAACAATATTTATTTACTAATATCTCAATTTTGTTTTTTATAAATAAAATTTATTTTGTATCATATAAGTCTATAAAAAATTATATTTTTCGATTAGATTATCGTGATACTTTTGCATATTATTTAAGGCGCAGTAACACCATATTTTCCTATCAAAGAGCCAACAACCTATAAGAGTGATTTGTGCATTAATATAACGTGACTGTAAAAGATCTTAGATCCAATCAAAATGCAACAATCACGTGTACTCAATGCTCAACAATTGGCTACAACTTCAACTTTGTTCACTTGTCCTCACATGAGGATTTTCATTTATTTTTGGATAGACATGGATGAAATGTACGTAGCACATTTTCACCAATGTCAAGGTCATAGTCAACCCGTAACATTGGGTCAAAAAGATTAAAGAAAAAAACATGTTTTGCTAGGCCTACCTTCAACGTTGTCCACTCATGTCACATGAGAATAATACTTTGCACTTGGATACTAGATGTTATGAAATGTCAAGATTATGTTAAGCAATAATGGCACAAAATATCTTGTGCTTGTAATAATGTATTTATTAAATACGAACTATTAAATTTAAGTATCGTGTTTGCAAAAAAATAAAAAGTATAATAAAATAAATCTCTTAAATAGAAAAGGAGAAAGTAAGCTTAAGATGTTTTCATCACTTGGAAGAAATTCCCTCCGCCTTTATCGTACTCCACCTTTGTAGCTTCCATGGCCTATCCCTTGCGATTTTACGAAGGACTTATTCTTTACATTCTATATTATCAGTAAATTCCCGTAGAACAGTCAAGTATATAGTCTATACAAACCTTGTGGCAAATGATTTTCATTTAATTTTTTTCGTCGTCGTTTAAAATTTTTTAAATCATTTAATGCTTTCTACTTATTAATTCCATCTAGAGAGAAAGCAACATTTAGCATGTTAGACAAGCTGATATTAGATTATAAATTACGAGTCCTAAGAATTAGCTCCAAAGATGCTAGATTGGAAACTTCAAATTAAAATTAGACTCCCATAAATGATTAGAGTACCCCCTTTCCATGTTCCTCTACACCGGGTAAGCCACTCATTCCATGTCCAACCAAAAGGGTAAAATCCATCAATGACCACCTAATTTTATTCTTAGTGTCACCATGTCTATCCAATTTGATTTTATTTCATCATGACCACACAACTTTATACTCAACTTTATACTTAGTGTCACCATAGCTATCCAATTTAATTTTATTTCACCATAGTCATCCAATTTCATATAATATTTCACCATAGCCACCTAATTTCATATAATATTTCACCTCAATTTCTTTTCACCATTTTCACTAATTTTAAAAGGGGTAAAAATAACTTTGTATTATTATATATATATAATAAATTTTAAAAAAATAGAAGTTTTTTTTAATTTTAAAATAAATTTTTATTATTTTTTAAAGGAACTTTTTATTTTATATTATTTTTTGAGTAACTTTTTTTTTAAATAAGTTTTTATTTTATTTTATTTGTTAAGTAATTTTTTTAAATAATTTTTTATTTTAATTTTTTTACATATAATTTAAAGTTACCATTTTATCCCTTTTAAAATTACTAATACTAATAATAATAATAATAATAATAATAATAAAGTCGGGTGGCCATAATGAAACAATATATGAAATTGGACAACTATGTTGAGATATTATATGAAATTGGGTGGCTATGGTGAAATAAAATCAAATTGGGTACTATAATAATACAAACTATAAAGTTTATTAGTCATAATGAAATAAAATCAAATTGAGTGACCTTGACAACACCAAGTATCAAGTTGGGTGATCATTGATGAATTTAACCCCAACCAAAATGAAATGTTTAACATGTTGATGACGCTTAGAAAAACCAATATATTTGACATTAAAAAAAAAAAAAATGCAACAGAAACCGCTATTAATTAAAGATAGTTGATATAAACTATAATCACCCAAAATCTTGTGCAAAAGGCGACAAAAACGGCTGATAAAACCAGATCTTGCACTACTTATTTCGATTCTATAAAACTTTTTAGTGGCACGTAAATTTAAATTGAATAATTTTTCATAAATACTAATGCCAAATAGATCTATTTTCTGAACAAAATTTCTCCCGTGCAGCAGGTCCCTCGTTTTGAAATTCACTGCATTTACTGAGAATTATTGCATGTGTGAACAGGGAGGAAAAATAAATTCTATATAACTTCAATTATATGAAAAAGGTTGTAAATCTATAATAATCTAGAACCACAATTGTTAAAATACTAAAGAGGACCAAACTTACTTGGAATGTTGTCACCAAACAAGGCCAATATTTATGCACCTTAAACCAGGTTCAAAACCGACGCGTTCGCCAAAATCCATAACACAATGTAAAAATATAAACGTATTCTACCCACCCAAACTAACAATATAATATATCCATAACAAAAATGAGTATTAATTCAAGAGAATTTCATTAAACGGGCAATGCATAGGTTTCTTGACATTGGGGAGTGTTTGTAAACATTGAACCACTTTTATCTACACATTTCAAGGGACCCACAATCGCCATCTACATATCCACTATTCCTTTCAGCATGATATCCAATGGACCAACTTAGTCTTGGCCAAATCAACCATCTCAAGGCAAGGCGCAGATGAAAACTGAGTTTTTCAGAGACAACCAGAATGTTTTAAGATACAAATGAACTCCAATTTGTAGATGCCAAATATTTGAAGAAGTTAACAATTCATTTCATGTATGCTTCATCCTCCCCTGTTACGACAAAGATGAAACTATATTAGGCAGTGATTAACAATGCATGCAAGACTCAGAAAACTCCAAACAAGCGAAGATAAGGACAAGGGTGGAAACAAGAAGAACATGATATTAAAGTCAGCCTCACTCATGATATATTGAGTACATGCTAGTATGGGTAATGTCTACTACTAAACAATATCATAATATCATTTACAACTTCAAAAGAAATGTATCTGCTCATGTAAATCCAGTTTCCCATTTGGTCAAAGTAGCCCTAATTTTCACAGCATCTCCAGACTAGGGAAAAAACTTAGGTGGGGTGCGCCACCTCGACGGATGGCCCACACACCTCAAACGGTGCGACCACCCTATAAATGTGCGCCACCTCGGCAGGTGGGCCACCACACACCCCCGAGGTGCGTGGGCCATCCGCAAAGGTGGCGCCTCGGGGTTGGGCGGTCGCACCACGTGGATGGTGCGACCGCCCCCCACCCAAGTTTCTCTCCCAGACTAGAGAGATCCCATCATGCTCATTTTTCTGACAGTGCTCATATCTAATGCACAGAAGTTCCATGCCCCCTTTATAATATTAGAAGTCTATTATTACATTTACACAGACAACTGAAAAAAAAAATAAAGATCCAAAGCATAATTTTTATTACTTCATTTAATATCTGTCATGTAACTTCAATATGGTAATAAATTCACACGAGATACTGCCAACTGGAAATATTGCTTAGATGAAAATGTAAACAGGAATAAAAATATTCATAAAATTTGGCTCCAAAGAAAATTCATTTAACAATGGAAGTCAAACACAGCAACTCAATTTGGATGGAGAAACCACTACCATTTTCGGGGGAATATTATCCCATAACAATAAATTAATATCACTCTACCTCAAATACAAGCCTCCGTGTTACTTCATATCTCCATAACTTATTCTCCTGGGGCAGAAGGCAATCGGTTGATAAAATTTTCCATAATGTATGAGCAGAATATGGTTCCCCTGCTTGTACATCTCCATCAATTACCACTGGAGATAATTCGGAGCATAAAGTTTAAAATCCCCATCCTCAGAAAATTTTAGGCCCGGTCTGTTTCTCAATAATGTAAGGCTCAGAATGAAAAATATAGCCGTTACGAGTCTCACACAAGAGATAAAAATTCAAATATGGTGGCTTGATGTGATGGATAACGGTCATATTTTTCATTTCAATGGCCAAATAATGGGAAACAAACAGGGGCTTAATCAACTTCTGGATCCAAACAACCAGACCATTCAAAAATATCAACAAAACTTGTCATTTTGTTGGGGTGAATAAAATCTCCTACCTAATCTTTAGAAGGAAGTGCGCAAGTAAAGTCACCATTGATATTTACAGAAGCTGCATCCTGAACAATGACACATAATGTATCAACGTGAGTGTTTGCAATCCAAAACATATATTGAGAACAAAATGGTATACTACATGGATACCTTCTCAGAAATACAAAAATAGAAGGTGCAATTCAGAAAAGCATAGCACTATTTCAAATACATACCAAACCAAGAATGTGCTCTAAAAGGTCACATAACATCAGTAATGAAATCTAGAGAAGTACTGACAGCAGGTTTGGCAGTTTAAGCACTGTTGCTATTGGAGATATCTTCAACTGGACGAGGCAACACATTTGCGAAAAGCCCGATCAGACTATTTCTAGCACCACCAACCTTTTGTTGAACTACACTCCCAAACCAAGAAAGGAGTTGCACGCTAGAGCATTAATAATTGAAGAGTTAATAGTTCGCTCTCAACATGACTCGCTCACTGTCTGGTCTGATCGGGCTTTTCGCAAATGTGTTGCTAAATCGACTGAGCTATTCAGCTGCAGCCTACAGCTACTGTAGCAAATCTCAAGGTGAACAGTATGAAGATAAACTTGTACAGACCAATGATCAGAAATCTTTGTAAAAGCCTGCTAATGCATTCTCCTAATTTGATCTAATGTAGGACAGCATATGCAAATTATGAAGTTGAAAGCAGGGGAATAACCAACATTTATACAATATGCTGAAATACTCACTGCCACTCGCAATTATAATCATATAAGCAGCCCCAAGAAAATGCATTTATTCATGTTCGACAAATGTGCCATAAGTAGGCACAAAAAATTCTCTTACAAATGTGATTATTCCAGTATTTCATTAAAACAATTTATCTCCATTTCATATTAAACAATCTTTAGAAACTATTATATCTAGTGCATAGAAATCACAGACACTTGGCACAATTTAAGACCTTCTCATGAAATGATCATTCTTAATGATTTTTTCTCACATGAAAGGAAGAGGAAAAAATATATACCTGGAGTTCTTGCCTTGTGCACATTACCTAAGACTGTGTGAAAGAATGCATGCCCATCTGACAGAGTCAAGGGTTGTAACCAGCAAAGAACAATCAAAATGCCTTCAATGTACTCTTTTTCCTCTTTATCAGTCCATTCATTAGAACAATATAGGCGGATTTATTTACAGTGATGCCCTTCTGCTTCAGTTCTCCAAAAATATGCATGGCATCTTTGTATCTCCCTTCAGCGCATAGCTCGTTAATCTGTTCTGAGTAAGCTATAGAACTTGAATCTAATTCATCTGAAGTTTCACCAGCAACCACATCTTGTCCTTCATCCGTCTGCATTGGCTGTTGAGATGATTTATCACCTTCTATCATTTGTAACATGATCTCCTCTGCTTCTTTAGCTCTTCCCGCATCCTTAAGAGCACCAATAATGGCATTATATGTATAACTATCCCGTGCTAGTTCTTTTTCTTTCATCTCAGCAACAAGGCTCAAAGCATCCGCGAGTCTCCCATCTTTGCATAGGGCCGTTATTAAGGTGTTGTAGGTTACTGCATCAATGTCTTTCCCTTTCGAATTCCAAGTGTTGAAGAGCTTTATTGCTTTTTCAAGCATCCCTTCCTTGCAAAGCCCACGAAGAAGAATGTTGCATGTATAGATATTAGGCTTAAATGATTTTTCAACCATCTTGTTGTGAAATTGAAATGCCTTCTCCAGATTCCCTTCCCAGCAGAACCCATGAATAATTGTGTTGTATGTAGTCTCATTTGGAACCAACCCACTATCCAATAGTTCATTCAACTTATTTATCGCTTGGTCAGTTTTACTCGACTTGCATAGGCCTAGAATTAGAGAATTATATGCAGAAATACCCGGAATAATCTCTTTCTCCTTCATTTCATCCCAAAGCCCCATAGCTCTATCCAAATTCTCTTCCTTACAATACCCAACAATCAGAGTGCCATAGCTCACATCATCCAAGATATAACCTCTCTTATGAGCAATGTTGAGTAAATTGTATGCCTCATTAACCTTTCTTTCTTGGCACAGATTATGCAAAGCAGTGTTCAGTGTCACCGTGTCCATTTTCAAACCTTTTCCACCCATTAGATTCATCGTCATCAGTGCCTCGGAGAAATTTCCCGACTTACAATACCGGCTTATTAGAGTATTGAAGGTAATATGATCAGGTGAAAACCCACTTTTCTCCATCCTCCTAAATGTCTCACTAGCTTCATCCATCCTCCCTTCCTTACAATACCACTTAATCAAGATATTATGAGTAATCTCATTGGGCTTCACTCCTCTCTCTGTCATTTCTTCCATCAACTTGAAAGCTGCAAAACTATTTTTCATCTCAAAATACCCGTTTATCAACGTGTTGTAAGTAACCACGTCGGGCAACAATTTCAACCCCTCCATCTCATCTCTCAACCTGCATGCCTCATCAATCTTTCCCTGTTTACAAAATCCATCAATCAACATATTATATGTCCAAGCGTCCGTCAAAATGTTATGCTGACTCATCAACTCAATAACATTAGCAGCATCCTTCAACCACCCCATCTTACAATACCCATGAACCAAAATATTGTACGTATTCCTATTAGGTGAAAGCCCCTTCTCCTTCATATCAAACAACAAATCACGCACGTCATTCAATCTGCCTTTCTTGCATAACGTGACCAATATCGTATTGTAACTCACATTATCCGGCTTGCACCCAAATTCACTCTCCATATTCTTCAAAAATTCAATTGCCTCCTTAAGTTTATATTCTAAACAAAATCCACTAATCAAAATATTACAAGTATTTACATTGGGGACCACACCAAGTTTTAAAGCATCATTAAACAATTCTCGGCAAAAGGCAGTGGACCGTGAGGAAGAGGAATTCTTTACCAGTGAGTTCAACAAAGTGTTGAGAGTCAACAGGGTGGGGCGGCAGCCATGGCGCTTCATTTTCTTGAAAATCTGGGCAGCAAGGTGTGGCCATCCCGAGTGACAGTAGGCCGAAATTGAAGTATCTAAGAGGACCTTCGATGGGGGTGGAAGGTACGGGCAAGGGTGGAGGAGGTGACGATGTAAATGGTGGTGGGGATGATCAGAGACGATATGGGACCGAAGAATTTTTCTCGCATCCGTGAATTTCTGATGAGATAAAAGGGATGAAAGTATCGAAAGAAGAGGGGAGAGAGGTAGAGGGGCTGAATGTGGGGTATGAGAATGTACCAATGTGAGGAAAGATAGAAGAGTTGAAGGAAAATGGCGGAGAGAAGGGGAAGAAAGAATTGAGTGGATAATGGGTGGCGTTAAGGAGGGAAAAAATGGGGCAAGAGTGTCATATAATGGCGAAACGGGATGGCGTTTCAAGAGGTTGATAATAGTAGAGATGAGGTCAGTGGAGTTCAACAATGGCGGTTTTGGAGTTGCCATCTTCGATTAGGGTTTTATTACAGGTAAATAATATTGTTGGTGTTGGGTTTTGCCGTTTTGGGGACGAGGAGAGTTCTGGTGGGGGAGGGTTAGGCCTATGATGGAGGAAATGGTGGGCAATGGCTGCCCCACCCGGTATGTTTTTCATAATAGCCTCTGACCAAGTTATTTGTTAAAAAAAAAAAAAAATGTAAACAAAATATGTAGGGTCGAAAATACCCTCATTTAGAGGAAAGAAGAGAAGAGAAAATAGAGAGAAAAAAGAAAAGAAAAAAAGGGAAAAATCAGTTACCGACCGTCGACGTCGTCTACGGATTGCCCGGACCTCACCAACTTTGACCAAGACCAGAGCCACCTCGGATTCGTCGGAGACCGTCATTTTCTTGAAGGTTAGACATGTTTTCTATAAATAACTACTTTGAATTTGTGAAAGTTTGAATGTTTAGGATATGAATATGGGTTAAATTCATGTTTCTATAGTTAAAATGTAAGAAAATATCGAATTTGAGGTTAAAATCTTGAAAAAAGTGAAAAAAAAGGGGCTAAACTCGCAGGAAATGGAGTTTCCGGCCAGCCCGCCGGTTTGGTCCGTTACGGACCAAACCGTTGGTCCGTAACGGACCATCTGACGGTCCGTTACGGACCAATCCGTAACGGACCAGACCACACCGGACCCGGATTTTGGTCCGGGTCCGGCTAACCGGCCCAAATCCGGGTCCGTCAAAAATATATAATTTTTTTTTTTTTTTTTTTGTTGTTGTGTGTGTGTTAAGAAATAAAATGAAAAATAAAAGAAATAATATATTAAGAAAATTAACGAAATATTTAAAGATAAATTAAATTGAGTTTTAATTTTTGTTCTTTTCTACTTAAATATACGCTTCAAATAAATAATCGAAATAGAGTAATTAAATATGAAATAAATAATATACATAA